ATGATCAACCAAACATTGCAATGCTAATATTTTAGATTCAAGTATTTGATGCTTTTCAATAATATTCTCATAATTTTCATTTATAACATGTTGATCAAAAATATTAACCTAACTATGTTCTAAATACTTCTATATTTTTAGGTACTTGTAATTCACTTTTATTCTATATTAAAAAAGAATAATCAGATTGGCATTTAAAATTTGAATATATTAATCTAATATTTTGAGATTGTTCAGATACTTTATAGATTAAATATTTATATATAAGAAATGGCTGTGAAGAAATTATGGAAAGCTGCAAATCTAGTATTCAAGATTAATAAAATATTGATCTTTGGCATTATTAAATAGTTTGGTAAAGAGATTTTTCTATTGTTTTTTAAATGCCTCAAACTAGGAAGGTGCTATTTTACTAGTTAACAGTTGCTGAAGTTGGTTAACCTGGTCAGGTATAACATGTGAGCTGATGATCTATATTAAATAATCAAGTTATAGACAATTAAGCTAAAAAAGGTAACAATGCTTTAGAACTCTCTAATGTGCTTCTATCATATTATTAGTTTTACCTAATGGTATTGTTATATGAGTAGAATATGCTCAAAGACACTATCGTGTTGGCTTATACCAAGAAGACTATAAATAAGTCTATAGTATTGAGAGATTATTTGCGGTACAAAACTTATATATTTCAAAAACAGCTTTAACTCTTATTTTATTAGAGGATAAAAATTGTCCATTAATATTAACAGGAATTTTGGAATGCATGTTGAAATAGTTTTTAATTATTTCAACAACAGTTTCATAAAGGTCAGGTAAGCAAACTCTATAATATTCATTATCTGTTTGTTACAAATCAGATATAAAAAGTGGATCAACAAAACTAAATTCTTTCACTACTTCTTTGTAATTATAGTTTATTAGTTCAATCTTCTTATGACTTTTAAGTTTTTTTTAATATGCTATAAGCAAAGCTGCATATCAGCCATGGGCTATACATTTTTTGCAGCAATTATTTCGGTGAAACCTTTGTTAGTATAAAAGTAATTTAGGGTTAAACCTTTATTACAAAGAGATTGGAAGAAGCCAGTAAGCATATTAGTTCTTAATCCTTGTTGTTGTTAATTTTTAGAAGATTTAGTAGTATCTAAGATTAGATAAGCTAGCGGGAAGCCAGCACCTTCAATAAAAAAAGATTTATTATATAAAGAAAAAGTAGAAAGAAGAGAAAAAAAAAAACAAAACTCTGCACCTTCAATATTACCAATTAGGCTATAAAATTTGAGCTATTCCTTGGAAGTTTTATAAGTAGTGTCACAGTGCACCTCTTTACAATGAGATTGTTCAAATAAACTTGTTGTGAAACCAATAGCAGTTGTATTATCTGTTTTAAATTGGAAGTATAAAGCACAGTAATTATCAAGTTGCCAATCAAAAAAACATACACGCTGAAATAATATAATTGTTATTATTGTTGTGTATAGTATAACAACAGTAATAAATCTGTTTAGATATAACAGGCAACATGTCAAACTTTTTATAAAGATATTGTCGCAATTTCATAGAATTCAAATAAAGATGTTCACTAGTTTCTTGTTTTATTTCATGTAGTGTTGCAACCTCAATAGGTTTATCATGTTAAAAATCATGCTTTAGAGCCACTTTAGCTTCTGCTGCTGAAATATCGATTTTAATTGATATTTTGTCACTACAATTATGATGAAAGATTCTTTTGCAACTTGAATCTTTTAATTCTCATTCAAAATTCATTACTTTGGGAATATCAAAAATAAGTATTCTCGACACCATGATAACGAGCTAAAAGATTTTGTAGTACTATATTGTAGATACATTATCTATTAGTATATAGTTAAATAAGATAACGTATTTGTATCTACTATAATACATTGATTAAAAGACCAAAGTCTTGTAAATACCCGAACAAGTATTTTATATAATCTTTTAACCAATATGATATAGTAAATCTATATTCTATTACATATGTCCAATTATAACCATCTTCTTTCTCTATTTTATTGATAATTAATTTAGCTATAAGTTTTACACCTATACTAACTCCACTAAGTGCAACATTATCAAGTTGAATTTGAAAAACAAGAAAAAGCTCAGCTTGATTTTCTATGTTATTGATTGCATTCGCAATATGGTTACTAATTTTGTATAGAGAAATTATCTCAATTGGTTCATTTTTTTAAAAAGTTCTTGTGGCTCTATAGCTATTACAAGTTTTATAACTTTTGCTTTTATATATGAATTCTTTAGGAAGAGGATCATGTAAACAAGTACTACAAGAAGGCATTGAAAATTGAAAAGATATTTTTGTTATAGGTATATTAATTCAATTAATTTATATATATTGAATACTGAAGTAATAATTTTGTATTAATCATTGATAATAAAATAGGCGATAAATGTAAAGTAATTTGTAGGTTAGCCAGAGTAATAAGTGAAGTTTTGGGAACTGTAATAATAAGAAAAGTAATTTAGTTATTTATAAAGTTTTGTTAAAAAATACTGATACTTTTAAAGCTTTTTTTTTAAAATAGTAAACTAAATGTTGAGCACTACACCAGGGTATAGTCAAATGTTAAGGCGGCATATTAGGTATTTTAATTTAAACTAGAATTTTAGAATTGCAGATAAAACTAACTCTAACAACCAAAGAAAAACTTAGTAAAGCTTAAGATTATGTTTAATTGCAACTTTATTCTAAACAATATATAGTCAAATACGTGTAAAACATACAAATGATCCAAATACTATTATTAATTTGTATAAACTTTTTAGACAGTCAATGCATATTAATTAAATAATTTATTTATTTGATTATAAAATTCTATTTATTTATTTTTTGTATCTATAGCCCTAATTTTATGATTCAATTATTAAATTGATTTGAATCGGTTGTTCTGATTCAAAATAATAATAATAATAAGTGATTCGATCATTGAGCTGATTCAAATAAGTTACACCAATTAAAAATATTAATAGGTTTATACTTTGAACTAATGTGCTATATAATATTAATTTTAACTCTTTGCTAATATTATTTGATTGCTTTATTTATTTTCTAAATTGAATATTCAAAGATTAAGCTATTATATATATATATATATATTTTTAATCTTTACAGGTTTTGCCGTGGCTTGCTTTTTATTAAAATGTGTATAAGAGCTATATACATTTAATTTATAGAACTCAAAGCC